GCCGGTCCCACGTGCTGACAGCGCCAGCCCCGCTCGCACCTGCTGATGGCGCAGAGCGATTGGGGCCAGCTCCAGCAGTGGTGCAGGAGGCAGCTGCTGGCCCTGATTGCCCCTCAGGAGCAGAGGGAGGTGGAGAAGCCCTGAGGGGCGTTCAGGGCTGGCAGTCGATGCACCTGCTGATGGCGCCGGGTGATCGGGGCCGGTGCCAGGTGCTGGCAGCATGTGCGAGCGGTGGCTCGGGCGCCAGCAGTGCATGCAAGTGTTTGGTCTGGCGGTCCCGCTCACCTGCTCCACCATCCCGTTGCAGCTGATGCCCACCATGTTCCACGCATGCCCCCTGGTGGTCAGCACACATCATAGGGACCGGTTGTTTGGTTGTTCCACTGTTCGGTCTATTTGCATATTAAGCTTTTATATATATAGGTAGATATATATTATCTCAATTTGCACAATAAGCCTGGAAGATAGTTGTTGGTATTTCTTTATTTAACAGTCATAACATTGAGGCTAGAGAAGTAGAATAACTCACCCAAGGACATGTGCATGGTGAAATCAGGATATGAATTCAGATACTTTTATTTCAGAGCTTGTATTTATCCCATCGATCAGCTGCCTCCTACATGCCCCCCAACTGGGGATCAAGCCCTCAACGCAGGCATGTGCCCTGACCTGGAATTGAACCGGCAATCTTTTGGTGCATGGGATGATGCCCAACCAACTGAGACTCACCAGCTGAGGCCCTTTTAGCTATTTTTAAGTGTACTGTTCAATGGCATTAAGTAATTCACATTGTTGTGCAACCATTACCACCATCCGTCTCCAGAACTTTTTCATCTTATAAAACTGAAACTCTATACCCATTAAACAACTCCACATTGCCCCTCACCCCAGGCCCAGGAATCCACCATTATTCTTAAAACATAATAATAAAAAAATAAATATATATGTATGTGTGTATATATACTTCAGAGAGGGAGAAAGAGATAGAAACATCAATGATGAGAGAGAATCATTGATCAGCTGCCTCCTGCACGCCCCCCACTGGGGATCAAGTGGAGGGTGAGCAGGAGACAACCTGGGCATGTGCCCTGATTGGGAATTGAACCGTGACCTCCTGGTTCATAGGTTGGTGCCCAACCAACGAGCCACACCAGCCGGGCCCCCATTCTACTTTGTCACTATGAATTTGACTACTCTAGGTACCTCATATAAATGGAATCACACAGTGCGTGTCCTTTTGTGTTTGGCTTATTTCACTGAACAGTAATTGTAACCAGGCTTCTGTTGATGGACATTTAAATGTTTGGGGTTTTTTGCTCTTCAAACGGTGTTGTGCTGCTGGAGCATGTGATTCAGAGTGCTTTCTCAGTTCTGTCCTGTGCTTGGCTGACTCTGAGGAGGAAACCCAAAGCAAATTCTTTCCTTTTGTTCCTCAGCTTTTCTGGGCTGTAAAATAAAAATGTTAAATAATTTCTTTTGTTACAGTATGGTGTGAGGGCCTGCATAGTTTCTGCTTATAACTCATAAACTTTTTGGAAACGAGTACTCTTTAAATATAAAGGTTATCTACCCCTGGACCCTCTGATTACTCCAGTTAAATTGGCTTCTGTTTCTGTTGCTGTGGTCCCTTGTTTTATTCTCACCTACACATTTTTGAGTTTGCTACCAAGGCAGTTGTCTGTCAGATGAATATGCTTTGTCAGTTATGGGGTGGTTTTTGTTGTTGTTGTTCTATAAGGCAGACCCTCCAGTGTACTGGTTAAGAGGGGAAGTATGGAGTCTTAACTGCTTGCTTTTAAATCTTAGCTTAAGCACTTCACTTACTGTGTGACCTTGGCAACTTAACTCTCTGGTGTTTGGCTTTATAATCTATAAACCTATGAGGGTAGAGCTATTATGATCCTCATTTTATATTTGGTGAAACTCAGGCTCAGGGAGATTAGTTTAGAAGCATGAGTAAAATGAAGAAATATACAAGCCTCTATCTGTTAATTTTGTACTTTTGACAGAGACTTGGGCACAAATAAATAGTTCTCTAATTAGTTTAAGATACATAGTAGCAAAAGCAACAATAGGTCTCTGACCTGTGGCCTCAGTGTTGGGAAAACAATAAGAGACTATAGAACTAAAGTCCCCACAGGGTAAAACAAACAACAGACAAACTACTTTGTGTCATTTTTCATTAAAATAAAACAACAAAAACTGAAACCTTTGTTTTAATTATCTTAACTTGTAAGAGATACAGAATTTAGATAACCTTACCCCAGGCCAGAGAACTCATACTTGAAATGGGTAAATTATAAACAAAGAATACTGTGGACTATACTTAGGGAGCATCTGGTAGACAATGAAATACTTTCAAGGAGGAGACAGAACTTGATTTTGACCAACAATGGAAGAAAGAAGGAACTCAAGAAACAAAGGAACTAAAGTTTTTTTTAGGGGAGGAAGAATGAGTATGATTTGACCAATGTATCTTCTAGTGTGTATTTTAATTAGTATCAAAGGAAATATGTTCATGGCAAAAAGTCAAGTAGTACAGGAAAGTATAAATTAAAACATAAAAGTTTCTCAATATTATATACCCAAAAGAACCAAAAGTAGGGAGTTGAACAGATATTTGTCTTAGCAAAGTCACTTTATCCTCTGTAGGTTTCCGTTTTTGGTCAAAAGGGAAAAAAGATGTGACCAACTTCTCAATTCACTAACAAAATTGTTCAGGAAATTAAATAAAACAGTAAATGGGAAGGCGCTGCACATTATTTTAAAATGCAGTAGAATAGAACAGAAGACAGTGAATTAGGAAGGAATTTTCATCTGGAACAAATTCCCACATCTTAGCCAAGGTCAGCGGCTTCTAAATGCAGCCTGATCTCTCTGTTCTCTGAAGTAAAAAATAAATTTAAAAAAATTTAAATTCACTGTTAGCCCTGGCCAGTGTGGCTCTGGTTGGGCGTCATCCCATGGATCAAGAGGTTGTGGGTTCAAGTCCCTTTCAGGGCATATGCCTGGGTTGCAGCTCGATCCCCAATATGAGAGCATAGGGCAAGCAAGCTCCTTGCATGGGAGGCAACTGGTCAGTGTTTCTCTCTCTCTCCCTCTCCTTCTCCCACTCCCTCGCTCCCTCTTCTCCCTCCATCTCTCCCTCCCTTCCTCTCTAAAATCAATGAAGACATTTCCTCAGGTGAGGGTTAAAAAAAATTCACCTTACAAAAGAAAAAGATCTAGTGATTTACGGGCTGTGTGGTACGCCTCCACGTGGAGTGGATGTGCTATAATTTGTGTCTGTTGTATTGAATGGAGGAGGGGAGGCAGAGGTATAGAGCTTCCTATGATTTGCTGCCTGTGTTTGCTCCTATTGTAACCTAAAATTTTATTAGGAATATAATATAGGCTTGTAATAAAAAGTCAAACGTCAATGCCAAATATATAAGTAAAAGTAAAAACCCTCTAATCTGTCCGCTACCTCTTTTTTAATCTTATTCTCTGAAGTGGTAAACTCTGTTAACACCATTGTTAACAGTCTGTAGTTCATCCTTCCAGACATTTTTAATGTGTCTGCAAATATAAAGAATATATAGACTGTCTTACCTAATAATAGACAAACATATAAATTGACCATACCTTCGCTACGCTAACCAGCCAATCAGGAGAGCATGCAAATTAACCCAACAAAGATGGCGGTTAATTTGCATACGTAGGCTCCAAGTGGCTTAGCGAAGCCTGACCGCTCCAGGGCCAGCTCCAGCCGGAGCCCAACCAGAGCGAAGGCCTGGGTCCCGGGTGCCAGAGGCAAAGCGGTGCCAGCAGCCAAAGGAAGGGAAGGCCTATTGCACAAATCTCTTCGTGCAACAGGCCTCTAGTACTATATATATATCCCACATTCAAAGGCTGTTAAATTGCGTTGTTTACCCATATCTTCAGAAAAAAATCCCTTCTACTGTCTTGGTAAACAAACTGCTTCCCTATTTATAATGGTCTGGCCCTCTAGCAACCTCAGTGCGAAATTATAGCTAATTTGCCTACAAACGTCAGGTGGTCATAATAATCTGGCCACTCAGTATATATATTCTTATTCTCTAGGAGCTGGCTCGCACAGTGTAATATTGCTCATCTAATTCAGACTATTGAGAATTAGTTATACAGAGGTAAGAGCTGGACTGAGCTTCATGAGACCTGGGTTCTGTCTAGGTTCTGCTACTGTGACAGGCAGTTCCTTAGTTGTCATTCGTATGGTGTCCACAATCAATGAGGTCACATCAAAGAGAGTGCTTTGAAAACTAGGATGCTACAAATATTTAAGGTCTTTTGTTGCAAGCACTAGAAACCAACTAAGGTTCTGTTAGACTCCCTCCACCTCCCCCACCAAAAAAGATATTAGTGGAAGGATTTGTGGTAGTAAATGAAGAAATATTTATGTTCTCTGGAAAGTCAGGAACAGGGTGAATTTGAGGGTTTCAGTATCTGTATTTATATCTTTCCATTTCTGTATGTCTGTTCAAGATTTAATTCCCGGGGAAAAGTGAGTGGCTTAGGGGCGATGTCTATTGATGATTAAGGGGGTAGAGTCCTGGGTTTATGTGCCCCATCAGAATCTCTTGGGGTTGAGGAGATGCAGTTTTGGAAAGAATGGGATTCAAGGCTGGCAAAACCAAGTGTCAGCCTTGAAATAGCGGCTGTTTTAACCCTGAATTCTTACTCCCCTGTTAAGGAGGTGATGATCGCCGGGTTCTGCTATGGCACATGGAACAAGCTATCCACTCCAGAGTCAAGCCCATACAGCTTAAAGGAGAGCATCATTCTAACATTTTCTGCCTGGCTTTCAACAGTGGGAACACCAAAGTATTCTCTGGAGGTGAGAAGAAAGGAGCTTTCCACATTGGGAAGTTTCCCTGGGGCCGATAATTTACATAAAGGAATGCTAAAATTACTCCTATTTTCCTTTATTGTTCTGTGGAATTCCTAGTTTTCCATAGCTTGTCTTCTCTGCATTACAGTAATTTAGACATGTGTACTAAAGTAATCCATTCATCCCTCCCTGCCTTCCTTCTTTTCTCTCCTTCCTCCCTCCCTCCCTCCTTCCCTCCCTCCCTCCCTTTCTTTCTTCCTTCCTCCCTTCCTCCCTCCCTTCCTTTCTTCCTTCCTCCCTTCCTCCCTCCCTTCCTTTCTTCCTTCCTCCCTTCCTCCCTCCCTTCCGCTTTCTCTCCTTTCCTTCTGTTCTTTTGCTCTCATTATTTCTCTCTTTTTTGGTAGAAAACTTTTTACATTGCAATCTGCTACACAGAAACAAACATATTTGAAACAGTATTTAATCTTACTATGTGTGGTGCACTCTAGTTTTTTTTTTTTTATTCTGTTCTATTTCACTTTTAAAGATTTTAAAGTTTGTGGCTCAAGTCAATCATCTGACCCATGAAAAACATTGTGCTAGGGTACCAGTGGAGCACAAGCCAGCCTCTGGGTGAAGGTTTCCATCAACCATACTCCTTTTTGACCAGCACATTTCTAGCCCTGACCTCTATCCTGCACTGCAGACTTCCCTATGTGTTACCCTTTGTAATACTTTTAGCAATAAAAAAAAAAATTAAAAAAAAATAATACTAAAAAAAAAAAATTAAATAAAACCAAGATGATTATCCTCTCCTGCACAAGTATTCCTCTGATTCCCTGGATTTCCTTTCTCAGTTATTATCCCCATTCACCCAATTATTTATGCTGTTAAGTTTAACTTTAAGCAAGTGCTGCCTGGCCCGTTTGGCTCAGTGGTTGAGTGTTGACCTATGAATCAGGAGGTCATGGTTCGATTCCCGGTCAGGGCAAATGCCCAGGTTGCTCAATCCCCAATAAGGGGTATCCAGGAGGCAGCCCATTGATGATTCTCTCTCATCATTGATGTTTCTCTCCCTCCCTCTCCCTTCTTCTCTGAAATCAATAAAAATATATTTTTAAAAAGGAAAAAAAAAACTGTTGACATTGAAGCATTTTCAACTTACAGAAATGACAATTTCACATAGTTCAGTTTAATAGAAACCTTGAAGTCATTCTCAAACATGCCTTTCTTTCATTTACACATTCAGTTAGTCAACGGCTAGACTTGAAAGCCTCTCAATTCATTCTTTAGTTTCTGTTCTCTTCCTATACCCACTGCCCTGATTCAGGTCCTCATCTTTGGCCTGGACTATTGCAATGTCCTTCTATCATTTCTGCTTTCCGTCTTTAACCCTTCTTCTAATTCATTGCTGATACAAATTTTCTTTCAAAAATAAAGGGGTTTTTTAATTGAATTTATTGGGGTGACATTGGTTAATAAAATTGTATAGGTTTCAGGTGTACAATATACATCATCTGTATATTGTATTGTGTGTTCACTACCCCAAGTCAAGTCTTCTTCATCACCATTTATCCCCTCCTATACCTTCTACCTCCCCCACCCTTTTTCCCCTTTGGTAATCACCATACTGCTACCTATGTCTATGAGTTTAACAATAAAGGTTTAACTATGTGAATCTCTTTGACTCTATAGTGTTCATAGCATAATGTCTAAACCCTAGTTTCCCTCTCTGGCCTAATCTCCCCCTTGCATCTTGTACTCTAGTCCACTAAACCAGGGGTTGGCAAACCGCGGCTCGCGAGCCACATGCGGCTCTTTGGCCTCTTGAGTGTGGCTCTTCCACAAAATACCACGTGTGGGCGTGCATGTACAGTGCAATTGAAACTTCGTGGCCCATGCGCAGAAGTCGGTTTTCGGAAAGGAGATTGACGAAACAAGTATACAAGATGAGTGTGGATGGGAGAGTTGGAAGGGGTCGACCTCAGCGAACGTACCTCAATCAGATTGAGGACGTTTTTGGCAAAGGCCAGCTTAGGAGTACCCTAATTAAGTTAATAACAATGTACCTACCTATATAGTTTAAGTTTAAAAAATTTGGCTCTCAAAAGAAATTTCAATCGTTGTACTGTTGATATTTGGCTCTGTTGACTAATGAGTTTGCCAACCACTGCACTAAACCATTTGCTATCTTAGGTGCCTTTGTGCCTTTTGCTCATGCTATTCCTCCATGGGTCATGATTATTTGTCCAGTTCCCACTAGTTTCCCTAAGTCTCCCATTAGTAAGAGTTTTGAATAATTTGAGTTTCTGTTCAAATGTCTCCTTCCCCATAAAAACATTCCCTTCTGCCATGTAGTTTCACCCTGCTCATGAAGGATATAATTGCTTCTTTATCTGTGTCCCCATTTGAAGCATATTGATACAAGATATCCTGTCTTGTACACTGTTAATTATTTGTGCAGTTGGACTGTGAGTTCCTCAAGGGCTGGGCAGAATTCTTATATCCCCAGCACCTTGGCTGTGCCTGATACCTAAAAGGCATTAATTAGTATGGGTTTGATTCACTTGATATGCACCCACAAGAGAGTTTATAGCCAGGGATTTAAGATGGTCAGGGTCACTGCTAATTTTACTTTTGGTTGTGCTTTCAGCACAAAATGGGAAGTTTTTTACTTTCTGTCTTTTCATATTTAGGTTATTAATTTTTTGCTATATAATCTTTTTGAAGGTAGCATTACACATAATCATGAATGTAGTGTTTTTAGATTTCTTGATGGTATAAAAAATGCAAGAGACAAAAGTTGTGGATAAAAACTTTTTCATTATTTAGAATCATATAGTCATCAAATTTTAATGCTATAGATGAGGATGTGAATAGTAGCAAACATCTGTTGGGGATTCTGAATGCTTTTACAAATGTGCTCTTATCCTCACAATAAACCTATAAGTAGGTACAATTATTACACATTTTGCAGATAAAAAACAGGCATCGAAAAGTCACAAATACTATTCAAGGTCTCACAGTTAATGAGTGTTTGCTTAAAAAAATAAACTTTAAAAAGCTAGCTTGAATTGATTTGCCCTTGATCATTTACTTTTTTCCTTAATAGCCATAGCTTTTTTTTTTTTTTTTTTTTTTTTTTTAACATTGTCCACTGGATAAAACATTTTGGAAACTTACAGTTAGTTGCTATTATGCGTTTTGAAAGTCTCTAAAGAATGTCCTATTCTTAAATTATTTTTATAAGTATTTTTCTAATTAACACTTCTAATTTGTACTAACATTAACTTTGTTCACATTTAATTTTCACTGAAAATCTTAAAATACTAAATTGTAATATGGATAGGGATCACTTTGTAGGAATGACCAAATGTCTGCTTTTTTCCCCTTACAGGAAATGATGAGCAAGTTATCCTCCATGATGTTGAAAGGTAAATAAATTGTTGATATGAGAAGGTGATTGATTCTGTTTTTCATATGAAGAGAGGCAAATATTTCTTTACACCACAGTAGTTTTTGTTTTTTGAGAAAAAACAAACAAACAAACAAACATGAAATCAGCTGTCCTTTTTGAGTGCTTTGTATGTATTAATAAATTTAATCCTGCCCTAGCTGATTTGACTCAGTGGATAGAGTATCAGTCTGTGGACTAAAGTGTCCCAGGCTTGATTCCGGTCAAGGGCACATGCCTGGGTTGTGGGCTTGATCCCCAGTAGGGGGCAAGCAGGAGGAGCTGATCAATGATTCTCTCTCATCATTGATGTTTCTCTCTCTCTTTCTCTCTCCTTTCCTCCCTGAAATCAATAAAAAAATATATTTTTTTAAAAAACTAATAAATTTAATCCTTACAATAACTCTATGAGGCTATACTATTACGGTCTCAATTACAAATGAGGAAATATAAGGTCATGTAGTGCTAGGATCTGAACTTAGGCAACCTGGCCAAGAGCTCTTATCCACTGTGCCAGACTGCCAGTATATCCCTCTTTTACCCAGCTGGCATCAGACCTGGCTGCTTTAAAGCTTTCCTTTGCTTTTTGGAAATCAAGCAGCACCCCCAAATCTGTACACAAGCAGATGCATTCTGTAGTAAGTGAAAACACGAAACTCATCTGTTGAGTCACTTTTAAATATGCTCATTTAGCACCAAAAGCAACTTACTATGAAATCTATAAAAAGTCTCTTTAATGTACTTTTATTTTTTTCAGCTGAAAGTTGAATACCTACTTTTATTATTATTATTATTGTTAATCCTCACCTGAGGACATTTTTCCATTGATTTCTAGAGAGAATGGAAGGGAGGGGAGAGACAGAGAGAGAGAAACATTGGTGTGAAAGAGACACATCGATTGGTAGCCTCCCACAGGTGCCCTAACCAAGGTTAGGGATTGAGTTTGCAACCTAAGTATGGGAGCCCTTGACTGGAATTGATTCTGAGACCCTTCATTCCACAGGCCGATGCTCTATCCACGGAGCCAAACCTGCTAGGGCTTGAATACCTACTTTTAAAGGAAATATAATACTCTTTGGGTTTAGTTAAATTGACTTCCTCCTGGAAATGAAAGGGAATCTTACCCTAGGAACTAGAGTAGAGGGCTGGGAGTCTGGCTGTTTGTGTGTATGTGTATATGTTTACCTGTGTGCCTCTCTCTGTTCTCTGTCTCTCAGCAGTGAGACCTTGGACGTGTTTGCTCACGAAGATGCAGTATATGGCTTGTCAGTAAGCCCAGTGAATGACAACATTTTTGCCAGCTCCTCCGATGATGGCCGGGTTCTCATCTGGGACATCCGGGAGTCTCCCCATGGAGGTAGGTTACTTGTAAAATGCTGTTGGATTGTGTTGAAGGGTTTGATATCAAGTTCATTGCAGATCCAGTTTCTGACCTGAGTAACCTGGGTGGGAGTGATTTAAAGGGGGAGGAAACTCTCACATAGGGGAATAG